CACTAGATGAAGGAAAACCATGCGAACAAGCCGGGTTCCGAAAAGGATTCAGCATGACTGACCACATCCACATGGTAACCAAGCTCAGTGAGGTTTCTCGGGAGTTTAAGATGCTGCTCTGTCTAACGTTCATTGATTTAAAGAAGGCCTTTGATTCTGTTGAGACTGAAGCAGGCATCGAAGCCCTAGGCAAACAGGGCGTTCAAACGCAATACATCAGGATCCTCTGTGAGCTGTATTACGGATTCACTACCAGGATCTCACCATTCTACAAGGAAGAGATCATCCATGTCAAGAGAGGGGTTTAGCAGGGTGATACCATTTCACCAAAACTTTTCGGTGCCACCTACTGCATAAAAAGCCATTTATATTTTAGGATCAATTTTGCTTCAAAACATTCACGTTTCTTTAAAAAAATTAGAGCTTGGAAAAATTCTTTCTAATCTTTACCAGATGTTATTTATACTACACTTTTTTCAGTACTCCATAATGTAATTGTTGTTTAATTAGTGATAAATCTGTCATTTCTGGGCTTAAAAAATATCTTAACAAGTACCAAATGTACTTTTTTGCTTCAAATCAACTCACATCTCTGGGTGCAGTAGGGAAAGGAGATCAGACTCCAACCACTGAACACACTCCCCAGGCCTGTGGTTCCCCTTGGCGCGCCCTTGGCCTCTCTGCAGTGACACAGTCTGGCCAGGATAGTGCTCCAACTGGTGCTGAGCTCAGCTCAGCGAGACAAAGGCTGAAACTGCCCTGTGCTTTCTGCTTCTCCTCTCTGGCAGGTTGCTCCCTACAGCAAGGAAGCGCTTGCAGGCTGGGCCCTTCAGACAGACAATGCTGAGAGATCTGGTGCCCCCATGAGGCCGAGGCTACAAAGAGCACCTGCCCTGACGCCAGCCTCCTTGAGCCTCAGGCAGGCGCCACTTTCCTGCTGAACCCTGTAAGTTACCACTGGCCAAACGCGGCCATCACCCCACAGAGCCCCAGACTGCTCGGACGTCTCCAATGAGTGAGCAGCAAAAGAGAGCATTAGTACAACGCCTAAGCTAAGCAACCAGCTCCATAGAGCGGGGCTGATGTGGGCGGAATCTCCTAAGGTGGAGTGTGACCTGTGTAGAGGAAGACTGTGATAACTAGCTGGAGAGTGTGGGAATAACACGCCTCTCCTAAAGCAGACAGGCCATGGAGGGCGAGGAATCGGCTTTGTTTCAGTTTCAAACACGTCCAAGGCTGCTGCCCCACCGTTACTGAGGGAACTTGACTAGACTGGAAGCAAGTGGCACTGGGCAGCACGGGAGTATTCCCTGACCGAGACACCGAGAAGCCAAATCCCACTCCTCTCCTGACAGCGAGGAGAGAGCATCTGGACAGGCAGGCAGCAGCGGCCATGCTGAGCCACTGGTAGGCCAGTCAGCGCAGGAGTGAACGGTGAGCACTGGAGCCTTGAGCCCCCGCACAGTGCTCCAGTAAAGCTTGAGCCAGCACTTCCCACCCAGATGTGGAATATGAACAACCATCTCTGACCTCTCAGGTCTAACATCCTGCAGCCCGGCTGCTCTGTCAGACGCACAGGAGTTCTCCCAGGGACTGAAAGTGGCACTGAGGCCAACCGTCAACCTACGGAGGGGCTGCAGCAGGGCAGGGCCACGAAAATGTGCAGTGACGCAGTCAACGGAAGCTATAGTGAGTCTTAAAAACAACTACTGAAAACTTACTTTTCTGCAGACACTGTGATGTTGCAAGTCTGCCTGCTGTGTCTGGCAGGCAGTGTCCTAGTACTGTCCCCAACGGGGCCCAGCGCCCCAGCTCCACCTGCTTCCTTGAGAGGCATTATTTGTTGCTTTTTGGGGTCACGTTTGGCAGTGCTCAGAGCTTTCTTCTGGCTCTGTGCTGAGGGGTCACTCCTCACGAGGCTGGGGGACTCTATGGGGTGCCTGGGAAGGAACTCAGGCTGGGCGTGTGCGGGGTCAGCATCCTGCTGCTGGGCTCAGGGCCAGTGAGCACACTTAACCTCAGTCTCACGCTGTCCGTGCTGGCTCTGAGATGTGGATACGTAGTTATGCCACACCGCTATGTCACTGATGTATGAAGACTTATTTTAATTTTGGAAGTAAAAAACATACATATGCATTTAGAACTGAGATGCATTCAGATGCAAATAGAATTCACTATTTTAGATGTGTCCCTTATTATTCAGCCTTAGAAAACACCAAGTCACTGAGAGGTCAAAGAACATGGTGGGGGTGGGGGGGGCGATATTTTTTTCTGCACAACCTGCGCCACTCTTTATCTTGTGTTTCTGCAACATTTTGGTAACTATAGAATTTCCAGGACTGAGTCTAGTCTCTGGAGATGGGAACACAGTTAACAGAGCTCCAAATAAAACAAAGTTATGTAGACCATCACACTTTAATCACTCTCGGAATCCAGCTCTAATGTAATAGGCATCGGGTTTCTTGAGAGGAAAGCTAGCTGGCCCGTGCCCTCTGAGCTGGGCTGTCACTACTCCAGATATTGCACTGTGATAAGTGAATAAGGGGATGCGGTCAGGAAGCAGGTCCTCCCGGTCACCCTCCTGATCACGCAGGGCTGGCCCTGCTCCTGCCAGGCCATGGTGCGTGAGGGCGGCAGTCCCACCAGCCAGGGACTTTCTACTCTGCACCATGACTGGACCCTTGAAGTAAGGCACTGATAGGTCGCATCCTGCCTATGCCACAATAAATTAAACTGCGCAACACCCCCTGGAACCCCTGGCCCATAATGCAAACTCTGAATCTCGACACACATGATCCTGATAAATGCTTTTGTAAACCAACTGACTTTGAAGCTGTTCAAGACAGATCATTTTGAACTCTGAACTGGAAGAGAGAGGTCACAGGATGGGAGCGCCCGCCTCCTCCCCACGCACAGCCAGATCCCGGCTCCCAAACTCTGCCCAGCCTGAGGTCCAGAGGCCCACAGCACAGATGGTCATCAAGTCGCCATCAAATGGCACAGAACAGCTAACTCCGAAAAGTTAATGAAATGAAAATGTTTCTACAGGCATAAAGTTTAAAGAAAAACTGAGAAGAACCTTGAAAAACAATGAAAAAGCTCAGTTATATTTTGTCACTAAACGAGGGCCAGTGAAAATTAATTTATAGCATAAAGATTTAAGTTAGAAAGTCTTTACTTTGAATTTTACTGAAATGATTTAATGAATTGTCAAATTTATAATAAATTTTAATAAAGTATTTAATAAATTTAATAAATTCATGCATGCATTCTTAGTACTCTTTAACATACAACATCTGAATGGCAAAGTAAATTGATTTTACTACCAAGCCCGAAACACAATGTGCTCTCATTATTTTTCTCTCTTTATCTTCCCGTCTTCATTTATTTCCCCCTATTGGCCACTATAGATATGGGGCCAGTATGTGTCCCCAACTACTGCCTGCAGCTCTCCTGGCACGGGGAGAGGTGGGCAGGGCTGCTCACTGACCATCCATCTGGAGGAGGTCCGACAGGACCCAAACAGAAATGAGCCGCTGGTGGGCGGCGATTCCTACAGCTGTTATTGAGAGGGTGTGCAGAAAGCAGTGCTCAGACGGCCTAGGGGCCACTGCCTGCAGGCCTCACCCAGTGGACTCTCAGCCACCGGGCCAGGCTGCTCAGTGCGCGGGGCTGCAGTGCGGCATGACCAAGGTGCCTGACCTGATGCTGCCACCCTGCAGCTCTCCCTTCTAGTAACAGCATCTCCTCTTCCCTTCCTTCCCATGCTCAGTCATGATGCTCTCTGGGTGACACAGCTGCTTGCGGGACTCACAGACTTTCTCAGTATGTATCCTAGTTTTTTGGGGTGCACACTCAGCTGTCTTCAGGGCTTACTCCTGACTGCTCAGGAATCACCCCTCACAGGGCTCAGGGGGCTGTATAAAGTGCCGGGGCCAGAGCCAGTTGGTTGTGTGCAAGACAAGTGCCCTACCCACTGCACTACCACTCCCTCAGTATGTTAAAATGAAACATACAGAAATACAGTTTTATTTATTTCTATTTTGGGGCCGTATCTGGATGTGCTCAGGGATTCTTCTTGGCTCTGTGCTTAGGGGTCTCCCTCACCCTAGCAGTGCTCAGGGGTCATACCCATTGCTGGGCATGGACTGATCACATGCAAGACCAGCGCCGTACACCCTGCAGTGCCTCTTTCATCTCTTCAGCCCCATAACTATCTGTATCTGTCTGTTTATTTTGGTTATATAACATTTATCAAAAGGGCCACAACTCGTGGTGCTCAAGGATCATTTCTGGTGGGCTTAGGGGACTGTATGGGGTGCTGGGGATGGAACCTGGGTTGTCCAGGGTGGAAGGAAAGTGGCCTACCTGCTGTACTATCTCTCTGGCCTCCTAAAATTTGTTTTAAGTATCTTACAGAAATTGATTTTCTATTTCTCTTAGGTTCCTTGGACACCCTTTCCTAATACCTTGAAATCTCTCATTTTCCAATTGTCCTCAGAAGGAACCAACTACTTTGGTTCTGGGATTTCCCCAGTGCATTCCATTTGATTATGGCTTTTGAGGTACTATTTGCATCTTTCCTAAGAAATTCTGTGACTGTATTCTCTTTGACAAATGTTTTTAGGTTATATAATCAAGGCTTAGAGGGTGGTGAAATCATTCCCTGAAGTTTAAGTTTTGCAGTTTGGGCCAGAAAGGTGGTCCAATGGACCGGAGCGCAGGCTCTGCATGCATGCGTGAGGCGCAGGTTGGACCTGATTCCCACGCACAGAGCTGGGAGCAACCTCTGAGCATCACAAAACCTCTGCTTTTTGTGGCCCAAAATCAGAAACATAATTCAAAATTGTTGTATCAAACATAATAAAAAATTTTTAGTAAGGAAAAAACTAAAAGGTGCGAGTTACTATCTGACTGACATTTCCCCCTCAGATTAAAGGAAAGAAACAATATTCAGCATCTTAAGGGTCTTTTTTTCTTCAGGAGAGTTTAGTACATACCAGTAATGAATCCCTCACAAAGCCTTCGATCCTTTTCATGCACCTTTTCTCACTGGAGGCCAGTTTTTTAAAGAGATGCAGCACTGTGGCTTCAAGGCTGGGAAGGTGCCGAAGCCAGAGGCAGACTATTGTTGATGTGGGGAGAGATATCTTCTTCCTTTCAGCAAGAAATAAAAGTTTAAATAGCAGTGAGTTACTGGAACAAAGAACTCAAATCCAGCAATGAATTCAATTCGTGAGTTCTTTGACCATGACCATAGTAGTTTTCAGTATTTATTATGGAGTGATAGCACAGTGGGTAGGGTATTTGTTTGCCTTGCATGTGACCGACCTGGGTTCAATTCCTCAGTCCCTCTTGGGAGAGCCCAGCAAACTACTGAGAGTATCTCACCTGCATGGCAGAGCCTGGCAAGCTCCCCGTGGAGTACTCAGTATGCCCAAAACAGTATCAAGTCTCACAATGGAGACGTTACTTGTGCTCGCTCTAGCAAATTGATGAACAACGGGCGGAAAATGCTACAATGCTATAGTATAAATGAATATTTACCAAGTATCTACTTGCAAAATAAAGTGAGTATACGCCTTACCTTGAGAAAAATCTCAACAAAACTTCTAAAAAGGATAAATATGTAAAGATGGAAGAAGACAGTGCATGGTAGCAAAATGAAAGTGAAAACGACCTGTGATACCCATGGTTATAACACAGTCTCCCAATGCATGGTTGGGCATCAGAGTGAAAGCAACCAGCAGGATCACAGACCACTACCAGCTGCAGATCCTCTGGAAACTTACTTCACTCCCAAACTTCCTCAATAGATTCATTAGTAGATTAGGTTGTCCTGTGCTGGAGAAATAGGGGTTAAGGGTCCTGTGCTGGAGAGATAGGGGTTAAGGGTCTTTCTTTGCACAAGCAGCCTGGGTTCAATCCCTGTACCACATATCACACCCTGAACTCCACTGGAGTAACTCCTGAGCACCACTGTGGGGTGGCCCCCAAACTAAAAAAAAAAAAGAATCCCCGTCATGGTGTGGATGGAAGGATTAAACTATCAGCAACACACAATATATACTAATACAATATACAATCAATATGCAATATGCATGGTTTTAGAGTCTGGGTTCTTTTTTTTTTTTTGGAGGCCAGTTTTCCCAGCACCACTTGTTGCAGAGGCTTTCCTTGTTCCACTTCACATTTCTTGCTACTTTATCAAAGATGAACTGGTCATATGCCAGAGGGTTTGTCTCAGGATATTCAAGTCTAACCCATTTACCTGAGGGTCTTATTCCAATACCATGTTCCTTTAGTTACTACCACTTTGTATATAGTTTGAAGTTGGGAAAAGTGATGCCTCCCATCTTTTTGTTGTTGTTGTTAAGTTTTTTTTTTTAATTTTATTAGTGAGACACCATGAGGTACAGTTGTAGACTTACAAATTTTTGTGCTTGGATTTCAATTATACAATGATCAAATACCCATCCCTCCACCAGTGCCCATTTCCCACCACCACGGATCCCAGTATCCCTCCCACCCCCCACTTCCCCCCTTTTCACTCTACCTCTGTGGCAGGGCATTCCCTTTTGTTCTCTCTCTCCTTTTGGGTGTTGTGGTTTGCAAAAGAGGCAATGGGTGGCAATCATGTTTGGTCTATAGTCTACTTTCAACATGCTTCTCCCATCCTGGGAGGATCCTCCCAACACCCTTTATTTGGTGCTCCCTTCTCTATCTGAGCTTCCTTTTCCCCTAGCATGCCCAGCTGGCCTCCAAGCCATGGAGCAAATCTCCTGGTACTTATCTCGGCCATTCTTGGGTGTTAGTCTCCTATTTTGTTACTTTATGTTCCCCAGATGAATGCAATCTTTCTATGTTTAGCCCTTTCTTTCTGAGTCATTTCGCTTAACATGATACTTTCCATGTAGTACCACTTGTATGTAAATTTCATGACCTCATCTTTTCTGACAGCTACATAGTACTCCATTGTGTAAATGTACCAAAGTTTCTTTAACCAGTCATCTGTTCTCAGGCACTCAGGATTTTTTCCCTAAGGACTGATTTAGCTTTTCAGGGCGGGAGGTGTTATTGCTCCATATGAATTTCAGGAGTGTTTGATCTATTTATTTAAACAATAACAAGGGTATCCTTATAGAGATTGCATTGTACAATGCTTTGGGGGAGTATTGCCATTTTGATATTAATTCTCCCAATCAATGAGCAGGGGATGTGCTTCCATTTCCTTATGTCCTCTTTTATTTCTTAAAGTAGTGTTATGTCATTTTCTTGGTATAGTTGCTTCACCTCTTTGGGTAAGCTGATTCTGAGGTGCTTGATTTTCTGAGGTACAATTGTGAATGGGGATGATTTTTTAAATATCTCTTCTCTTCCATTTTTGTATATAGGAAACCATGGATCTTTGCATATTAATTTTGTAGCCTGCCACTTTACTATACAAATATATTGTTTCTAGAAGCTTTTTTTGTAGAATCTTCAGGATTCTCTAAGTATAGTATTATGCCATCCATATGTAGTGAGAGTTTGACTACTTCCTTTTTTATCTGGATGTCCTTGATATCTTTTCCTGCCTAACTGCTATGGCAAGTACTTCCAATACTGTATTGCATAGAAATGGTGAGAGTGGGCAACCTTGTTTTGTGCTTGATCTTAGAGGGAAGGCTTTTAGTTTATGCCCATTGATTACAATACTTGCAGTGGGCTTGTGGTAAATGGCTTTAACTATACTGAGGAAAGTTCCTTCAAATCCATTTTGTTGATTTTTTAAAAAATCATGAATGGCTGCTGAAACTTGTCAAAGGCTTTCTTTGCAACTATTGGTATGATAAAATGATTTTTATTTTTTCTTTTATGGATATGGTGTATTATACTGTTTGACTTGCAATTGTTAAACTATCCTTGCATTCCTGAGATGAATCCTATTTGGTCATTGTGTATGATCTTTTTGATGAATTGTTGGATTCAATTTGCTAATATTTTGTTGAGGCTCTTTGCATCTATGTTCATCAGTGGTTCGCTTCATAAATTATTTGGAAGTGTTTCTGTTTCTTCAGTTTCCTGGAAAAGGATTGTCAATAGGTATCTTTAAAGGTATAGAAGAATTCACTAGTGAGTTCATCTGGGCCTGCTTTGATTTTTTGTGAAGGCTTTTGATTATCATTTCAATTTCCTCGATACTGAAAGGTTTGGTCAGGTATTCTGAATCTTCTTGGTTCAGCATTGGGAGGTGACAGAAGTTCAGGGTTTATCCACTTCTTCTAGGTTCTCTTGTTCCATGGCATAAAGATTCTCAAAGTAATCCCTGGTTATCCTTCAAATTTCTGTGGTGTCTGTTGTGATTCCTCTCTTTCAATTCTGACTTGATTTATTAAGGTTCTCATTCTTTGCAAGTTGTATTAATAGTTAATAGATCTTATTTATTTTATCAAAGAACCAGTTTGTGGTTTCATTGATCTTTCAGATTTTTTGGGGGATATAAATTCATTAATTTTCTAAGTTTTACTATTTCCTTCCTCCCACATGCTTGGGCTCCTTTTCTTGGTCATTTCCCAGTTTCTTAACTTGTGCAGTCAAGTTATTTATGTGGGCTCTTTCTTCAATTCTGATGTTTGCACAGCAGTGAACTCTCTCTTAACATTGCTTCTGTTTTATCCCACCAAGTTCTCATAGGCAGTGACCTCGTTGTCGTTTGTTTCTATGAATATATTTATTTTATAAAGTCACTGTCACTGTCCTCCTATTGTTCATCGATTTGTTCAAGCGTCCCAGTAACATCTCCATTGTGACACTTGTTACTGTGTTTGGCATATCGAATATGTCACAGGTAACTTGCCAGGCTCTGCCGTGCGGGCGAGAGACTCTTGGTAGCTTGCCAGGCTCTCTGAGAGGGGCAGAGGAGTCGAACCTGGTTAGTTCACAATATCTGATTTAATATTCGAACACCAATCCCACCACCATTATACCTTCCCACCACCATATTTCAAATGTTTCCATCCCAAACCCCAACCCCTGCCCCAAAGTAGAACTGAAATAGTGTATTTTGTCTGTTATGAAAAACCACTGGAAATGCTACCAAAAAGTTTCCTTAGAGGAAAGAGTGTGAAAATTGTTGTATTTCACGCAGGGGCCATGAAACCCTTCTATAAGAGATCACTAACATGTTGTTAAAGGTTGAGCCCTGTGTGTGTGTGTGTCTGTGTGTGTGTGTGTGTGTGTAAAGAGAGAGAAAGAGAGAGCACTAATCATAGAGGGAACTAATATATATGTATATATATGTATATATATATGTATATATATATATATATTTGTTCTCTCTATGATTGGTTGCCTCCTACTTTAAACCCCATCAAATGTGGTGCAGTACTCTCTTGGAGTATGAGAGGTGTGAGGTATGAGTTGTCATGCGGCTGCAAATGTGGTCATGTGGTCCTGGAATAGGTTCACTCGTGGGTGAGGCTTGGTCCAAGTGTGTGGAGAGTGGCCATGACCAGGGTGGCAGTTGAGTTCTGGAGGTTGTAGGCTGCTGGGGCTGGGTCCCTTGGGGTGCGGAGGGGTCTCACTCTCCCCCCTCCGGGGTGTCCCAAATGAAATAGACTGGCGTGGGGTCGAGCTGCATGGTCATGGTCATGCTTCCTTCCAGGAGAGAAGGACATGTGATCTGGATGGTGGCTGATGATGAGATTATCTGGTGACAGCCAGAGATAACTTATGGGCGTGACTACTGAGTTGTGGAAACAGGGGGATATGGGCGGAAGATCCCCTTTCCCAGTTCTGTTGAACCCAGAGTTCTCAGTCACAAAGTCCCGCATACCTGGGTTCTCTGGGGATTCACTCGTGGGTGAGGCTCGGCCTGAGCGTGTGGAGAACAGCTGTGAGCATGATGGTGGTTGAGTTCTGGAAGTCTTCAACTGCTGGGCTGGATCCCTTGGGGAGGAGAGGGGTCTCACCTGTCCCCCTCTGGGGCACCCCGAATGAAACAGCCTGGCACGGGGTCTGGTGGCATGGTTCTCTATGAATCTTTTAATTTCCTCCTTTACTTCCTCTGTGACTCACTGGTTGTTTGGTAATGAACTATTTAATTTCCAGGTGTTTGAGTTGCTTCTCTATTTCTTTTTTTGTAATTAACTTCTATTTTCAATGCATCATCGTCT